GGGTGCCCCACCCCGAACCCGCCCCGTTGCCATCCCTAAACATGATGATGATTAGGCACACACAAGGAATTCAATTACCTTTGATAGATCTTGTTTTTGCCTTGTTGTACTTGGATCCGTCTTTCTTGAAACATCTGTTACTTTACACCTTCGTACTTAGGTTTAGAAAACAAAAATGAGCACTCAACAGCAATTCTATAGAACATAGCACGAGAGGGAACGAGTGTTAGAAATATTACTAGTAGCAATATAATAAAGTGTAGAAATAAAAACTTTATCGACTGATCGAGTCTCATGACAGCACGATATCCTAAAGTGAAATTGTGGTCGATAACTGCTGTGATATCTATAGTCAATCACCTCTAAGATACAACGTTCAAATAAACCAATTGTGCATCAATCACAAATGGTTTTAAAAACTCTCAAGTGTACTCCATAAAATATGTATAAAATTGAATATAATATTAAAATGATGTAACTGCCTCCATCATGATCCAATATTATTTGTAATTTTTATAGCTAGTGGTAATGAGTTGTTAATACGGGACAGTTAAAAATTGTCATATTTTACTAGTCAGTTGACCCATTAAATAATTTAGAAAATGATTAAAAATAAAAATTTATTATTATAATCAAATAAGCCCAAGAGTCCAAGGCTCCAATCAAAGATTTCTATATAACACGTGAAGTGTGACTCAAACCCCCCGACCTCCCACACAAATTCCACATTTTTCACCAATTGAGCACTTCATCTGAATTAATTATTTCTTTCTCATATTATATTTATTGTATAAATATCTAACAATATGAACTCCCAATGAGAGTATATATAAATGTGTAAGTTTCGGACCCCAAATTACCTTTCAATTTGGCGAAGAAAGAAAAAGAGTGGTTGGGCTTAAGGAAAAAGTGAAAAGTAAAATGAAATAAGGTTAGACATTTTAGATAAATAATGAATACATAAAATACCCTTAGGCAATCAAACCTTAAATCCCACTTCACAAAAATCCTAATTAATCAAAAGGTTTATTGTACTATCCATCTTGATCTTAATGATAGTTTTCGTCCAACTGTAACTAGCTTTAAAACGAGAGTTAGATATTTAAATTTTGAATTTGTTCCTCTCATTTATTATTTAATTTTTTGCTTACGAGTGATAAATAAGTCTCGTTAATCCGTCTTAATGATTTTTGGACAGAAAATTGACAATAGAGATGAAAGGTTGAACGTAAAAATGAGATGAAAAAAGTTTGAAACATGAGTATGACAATGAGTAAATCTTTTGGACCTTTTTATTTTTTTTTGATCGGTAAAATATTAATTAATTGATCAAAGCCACATACATGGAACTCTGGGCATACCCGGGCGAATCACAAATCAAGTGTAAAATACAAGTACTCCGGACACTCCCAGACGAATCACAAAACAAGTATATAAAACAAAAACACCGGACATGCCCGGGCTCAACAAAAAGATGTACAAACAAAACGAACTAGCTACCAATAGCCAAAGTCTCATAATGTAACAAAATATGCGGGTACAAAGAAAACATAACTTTGTATACTTGCGTTTTGATTCTTCTAACTGTAGAACCAACATTTGGTCTAAGGTCCTCAAAAATCTTCCGGTTCTGTGCCGTCCATAAATGGTAAAAGGTACTAGCAAGTGCAATCCGCTTCACTTTACTCTGCCAAGTTGTGCCTCACGCCTCTTTCTTGATCCATTTTAATGCGCTTCGTAATGTAGACATAGATCGCCTAATTCCAAGCCAAGCTCTTATGTTTAGCCAAACACCTGTACTAAAATGACAAGTAAAGAAAAGATGTTGTATAGTTTCATTGTTAGTATCACAAAAACAGCACGCTTGGTCTATCTCCAAATACGTGACTTTGTCCTTAGTAAGCAATTTGTCCTTGGCTCCAAGCCATAGGATAAAAGCATGTTTCGGAGTGATGGAAGCATTCTAAACAGTTTTAGCCCATACAATAGTCGGCCCCTTCAACCTGAAAAAATTATAAGCAGCCGCAATGCTGAATTTCCCGTCAATGACCCAACTCTCCAAAATTCTAATAGCTGTTAATCTATTTTCCCTGGGGCCGTGTAAGTCCGTTCAACATCTACAGCCGAACTAGTACCTACATTACCATCAACCAGTAAGGCCTGAGGCTGTCCAATAAGCCCAGCAATATCCAGCAACTTTTTAATCAGGGGGGGTCATCTTTCTTAGCCAAGTATTCCCAGATTCCATTCACACGCAAGAAAAATTGGTTGACCCATCTAACCTAAAGAGTGTCCTTTTTGTTATGGATGTTCCAAAGGGTTTTGGAAAGTAATGCCAAGTTTCAACATTTCATATCTCTAAATCCAAGTCCCCTCTCATCTTTTGGCAAGTAAATATCATTCCAACCAACTAAGGGCCTCTTGGATCCCCATAGAAAATTACGGCATAAGCTGGTAATCTTTGAAATAATCGCCCTGGGATAGGTAGGATGGAAAGCCAAAAGCACTCGACACCCTAAAGGACGGCTCTAACAAGTTCCGCTCTCCCCGCATATGATAAAAATATCCTAGACCATGCTCCGATATAAACCGAAATCTTGTTAATAAAAGAGTCGAAAGAACTAATCTTCAACTTCTCCGCCGCAAGTGGAATGCCCAAGTAACGAAACGGCATAGATCCCTTCGTCATATTAGTTAGGCGAGAGATGTCGTCCAACTTAATTCCAAAAATACCCGCCGTGAAGATGTTGGACTTATTCATATTCATCCTAAGTCCTGACACGTCCCCAAACTTAGATAAGCACTCCATCAAGATGGCAACCGAAGTAGTATCTCCTCTAGAAAATAGCATCAAATCATCCGCAAAAGCTAAATGAGTTAACTTCAATTGACCACATTTGGGATGGTAATTAAACTCACTTTCGTCAGTTGCACCTTTAAGCATCCTCGAGAAATATTCTAGGCAAATAACAAACAGGAAAGGCAATAAAGGGTCGCCTTGGCGAAGGCCTCTCCTACTCTTGATGAACCCATGAAGACCACCATTCAAGGCAATAGAATATTTCGGTGAAGTGATGCACTCTATTACCTAACCAACGAAATGTGTAGGAAATCCAAGTCCAACAAGCACACTCCAAAGAAAGTCCCAATTCACCGTGTCATATGCCTTCCTAAGATCAATCTTAAGAAGACATCTAGGAGCAACACTTTTACGGTTGTATTGCCTAAGAAGTTCTTGGGCAAGATGAATATTCTCCGTCATGTTTCTACCTTCCACAAAAGCGGCTTGTGCTTGGTCGATAATCGACCTAAGAATAGGACCCAATTGAGAAGCAAGGATTTTAGTAATGACCTTGTAGAACACATTGCAACATGCGATAGGCCTATAATCTCCCACAATGTTAGAGTGGTTTGACTTGGGCACTAGAGCAATAGTTGTGTGATTTATTTGCTTGAGTAGTGAAGAGGAAGTGAAAAATTCCTTAACTGCCGCAGTAAAATCTCTACATATACTTCCCCATGCCTTCTTAAAGAAACAAGATGAGAACCCATCCGGACCTGGCGACTTATCATCACCAATAGAGAAAAGTGCATCTTTGATTTCTTGTTCCAAAAAATCCCTTATAAGTCCTTGAGCATGCTCCTCAGATAATACGGGACCACTAGTCAAGATATCAACATTGATAGGTTGAACGGGATAGTTTTCCCTAAGTAGAATGTTGAAGAATAACACAAATTCATCGGCCACCTCTTCCAAGGAAATAGTGAAGGTGCCATCCCCTTTACAAATGGTAGCAATTAAGTTCCTTTTGGCATTCCTCTTTACCTAGAGTGGAAAAATTTAGTAATTTATCACTATTGTTTAAGTACTCACATTTGGCTTTTTGGAAGTAGAAACTCCTTTCCACTTCGCATAAGTCCATAGCTTTTTTCCTCATATTAGCCACCCTACTTTGAAGTTCAACATTTAGTGGGTCGTCATGTAATTTCAATTGCTCCTCTTTCAAAGCCAACGTAACTGTCTCGGCTCTAGAGGAAATGTGAGCAAAGTGTTTCTCATTAAGCTTCTTGAATTCTCCCTTTAAGCCCAACAGTTTCTTGCAAAGAAGGAACGGCTTGCTACCCCAAACATCAAGTTCCCAACCATTATGAACTATCTCATGGAAACTTTCATGATTGGTCCACATATTGAAGAATCTAAATAATTTCCTCTTACTCTTCTCAAGCCCAACAAGAGATATAACACAAGGTGAGTGATCCGAAAGACACCCCGAAGGCAGATAGTTAGCAACACTGTTAAACCCCGATTGTATCCAAGCATCATTCACCATCGCCATATCAATTTTACTCCATATCGAGTTATTTGTCCATGTATAAAAACACCCAATAGATCTCACGTCCATAAGTCCTAGGTTTAAACACATATTAGATAAATCCCTCACTTTATACGGTGTAATATCCACCCCATTACTTCTATCATGAAAGTTGAGTGCACTATTGAAATCACCCAAAATCAACCACGGAAAAGTGCAAGTTGTACCAAACTCCAGGATGTTGTTCCATAGGGGTCTACGGTTTACAATAGAATGAAAACCATAAACAAAGGTAACGTAGGTAGTAAGCAAGCTAACCTTGCACGTGATAGAGCAATGTATACATTGAGGGGTAATCTCTTTCGCTTCTACATGGACTTTCCCAGGGTTCCATAAAATCAAGATTCAGCCAGCTGGGTGAGAAAGGAAGTTGTTGATCTCATCAAAACCGCCAAATTTATTTCTCATCATACGTTGAAGCTTATGTTGGTCAAGCTTAGTCTGCAAAATGCCCATAACATCAATATCATTTTTAGTAATGAAATTTCGGATCCCATTTTGTTTGAGGGGAAGGTTCATTCCCCTTATGTTCCATGATACTATCTTCATGATGAGATAGCAAGAGGGTTTCCCCTCTTCACCTCTTTTTTTTTTTTTGAGATTTTCTCGCCATGCGTTCCAGATTTTGTTTTAGGCATACATTGTTAGTAGCCTAGGACTGAGATTGAATAGCATCTGACCCAACTTTCTTGGATTGACTAGACTGTCCCACACCATCATTTTCCACTGGATTCTGTTGTTTTGTAGCTGGTAGGCAAGTA